TTGGACACCCCAGAGGCCACTTGGACATCCCCAGAGGCCACCTGGGCATGTCCAGCGACCCCCGGGGCATCCCCAGAAATCCCCGTGACCCCAAAGGACCCTCTGCCCGTCCCAATCACCCCCAACCGGGCTGCTGAAGGAAACACCACCCCGAATCGAGCTTTCCCCAGCAGCACAAACCAACACGGAGCCCCAGGGTGAGGCAGCGGCCCCACACGCGGGTCTCTCATGCACACCCACTCACCGCGGTCAGAACCCTRAAATGCTCCCGGGACAGGTACCGCAGCATCACCACGTTCAGCTTCCCCATGGCCKCSKAGGAGCAGGAATGGGAAAATGGTGGAAAATGAGGGAAAGGAACGGGAAAAAGGAGGAAAATGAGGGAAAAGATCGAGAAGAAAAGCAGCACAGCGCTGAGGCGGAGCGCGCGCCGCGCATGCGCAAGGTCCTGGCAGCTGAGTACACCCCACCGGGTCCTGGTGCCGTTTCCCAGATTTTAAAAATTTTCTCTTTTTTTTGCGAAAAAAGCAATTTCCCGTTTCCCATTTCTGCTCCGAGCTCCGTGTGATCCCCTCTCCATCCGTYCCTGCCGCTGGGGTGTTTTTTTTTTCTTTTTTGGACATCCGTGCATCTGCCAGGACCCGTTCCCCTCACGAAACATCGCTGCTCTTCTCTGAAGGATAATTCTGTGATTCCAACAAATATAAACACTAATCCAAACGTTTTGACCCTCCGGTCTTCATTTACACTTTATAGAAAATATTTCACTGGGAGAAAGTGAAGAATRTTGACATTCCACTAGGTAGATCCCAGTCAAAGCCATGTTCTGAGTGGCAAGATGTCAACATTTGTTGCAGCTTCCTTCACATTAATATATTAAAACCACACCTGGCATATTTCTTTCTTTTTCTCCCTTTTTTTCTTCACATTAATATACTAGAACCACACCTCGCATATTTCTTTCTCTCCCCTTTTTCTTTCTTTCTTCTTTTTCCCCACTGTCTGTTGTAGGTATGCAAATAGGAAGGCAAAATAATCCGCATCTGTGTTCAGCTGTCTGTTCAGCTGTTTTGCAAAAAGAAAACAAACCCAAACAAAAACAATCCAAAAAAGCATAAGACAGGCACACCATGCACACAGATTGTGCACAAAGATCCATATTTATTATCTGTGATCTCTAGGTCTTACATCCCTTGTAGACTATGTATTTACTTAGGAAATACTTACCATTTTCCCCTTCAGAATTTCATTAACACTTGTCTTGTTTTGTGTGACTGTACTTTAAAAAAAAATAAAATATGAACTGCTCTTCTATGAACAGGAGTTTTTGTATGAACTCACAAAAAAATCCCAAACACCAACCAAAAAACACACACAAAAGCCCTACAAAACCCCCAAACCACTCAAAAAGGAAAATAATTAAAACTAAACCCCACCACTTCGTTTCAAAGACGGTACTTTGATTTAAAAATCCTGATTTTGCCTGGAATACCAATACCAATCACAAATTCACAGATTGCTTGGGCCACATTGTACTGTAATTATGCAGTAATTAAGATCAAGTGATTACCTTTCCTAGTGAAAGTAATTGAAGTAAAAGCAGAAGTAAAATAAAACAAAACTCAACTGAATTGTGTTGAGTTCTTACCCTGGAAAGGAAATAATTTGTTGAGTGTTTCATTCCATGAAAGTTCTTGTTGGCTTATGGGAAGATAGGAAATAGGTCAATTGAGCAAATGTTTATATTTTGGTTTTGTTTTTTTTTTTTAATTTTTGAGAAAGGGAAATTGCAAGATTGCAGCATCAGGTAAACCAGACCCCATTCTTCTTCCCCCACTGTACCCCCAGCCCCCTCCCCAAATGTGGCTGCACAAAAATGCTTTGGCTCTGTGCAATCCTTGCTCAGAAATGGCAAAAAAAAAATTTTGCACAGATCTAAAACACAGCACCACATCATATACAGTGAAGAAAATTAATTCTACCCCAGTAAAAACCTCAAAAAGAGGTGCAGGGTAAAAACTGTGGGGTTGGTCCTCTTGTGGATCCCACCAGATCAGCAGGGAAAGGGAAGCAAGCAGCTGGCAGGAATCACAGGAATTAAAAAAAAAAAAAGCAGGACAAACCTGAGCACAGCTCAGTGAACCTTTATTGATGAAATCCACACATCTCACCCCAAACAGAGCTGCCCTGCAGCACAAACCAGACATGGGGATGATTTCTGGCGGGGGATTCATCGCTTCCACACGATTTTC